TCAGCAATAGGTTGTGTATACATTGTAAACAAGACAGGTCCAAGAACAGACCCCTGAGGAACACCACATCTAAGCAAAACATTATTAGAACACGTGTTTCCAACCACAACTGCTTGTGTTCGATCCTTAAAATATGACTCAAACCATCGCAGGACAGTACCCTTTATGCCAAAAGTAGTATTTAATCTCTCGAGTAAAATACCATGATCAATGGTATCGAATGCAGCCGAAAGGTCCAAAAGAGTAAGAAGACATACCTTTTTTTCATCAATATATTTTAAAATATCAGTACAGACCCTAAGTAACGCTGTCTCGGTACTATGTTTGATGTCACTATTCACTATCTATGTTGTTGGAAATAAAGTTTGCGAGTGTAATAAGTCCGTCTGCAACTTCTGCTATTGAACATTCACTAACTATTCGTAACACAATATATAACATCACATCAATATTCATGCCGCTTTGAATGTCGAATAGCTGAAGGGGAGCTCATTGTGACAGCTCACTGTAAATTTCTTGGAGCAAATTTTGCTGCGCTTCAAGCCTCAAGTGCCATTGAGTTATTCATTGTGTGGCTAGTGAATATTGAAAAGTAGTAATTACTTTTTAGAAGCATTTTTATAACTTTTGTTGTTGACTCCACTTATGGCTCTGTCTCGTAATCATCAAGTACAAACTAGGTTATTGCTGAATTTATTTCAATGATTTCAGTTTTCTAGATTTTTAGTCAGAACACAATGTACTGTTTATATGTTACTGTTGTTTTGTAAAGCACTCAGAGCCTGTGTTCTTTAATCGGAGTTTAGCAGTATATAAATGCCATATGCAATTACTAATTGTATAATATACTCTAATTTTACTGCGTGTCAAGAAAAATGAGACGAAAATCCACTCTCTGACAAAATCACCTGGCATTTAAATTGGCTCTGCCATTCTGCGAATAGTTTTGAATAGTACAACTATCGTGAATGTTGAATAGCAATATGGAATGGGCACAGTTTTTCTAATCCTTGGTGGTTGTTGGGGGGGGGGGGGGGGGTATTAGTCTGCAGTCCTTCTGGCAACTGGAGTTTTCTCTCCTGGGTTGATGTAATACACTTCATAAGCCACACCCTCCCTGTTTTATATGTAGTGGCTTTATATTTTGTGTTTTCTTGCTATGCCTTCTGTCCTTGCGCTCTTCGTTTAGTTTTTGTAAATTCTAGGACACTTACAGCAGAATGCCCCTCCCCCCCGGGCAGTGCTACTGACTGAATTGTCTTTAGGTCATTCCCAAAGGGGGGATATTAATGTTCTTATGCACAATAGAATTGTAAATAGGATGATTTATCAGTGTCATGCTCATACTGTGCTGGAACAACATAGGAGGAAGTGCTGCTTTTTATCATCCTTTTTCCTCTACTTCTTTTGTATGTTTGTTACTCTCTTGTGAACTGCTATTTCTGGGGTGCCTTGATAGTCAGAGCAGAATTTGTGCTGTTGAGGCTGGAGAGGTGAACAGAGTGAGCCTGATTCCCTGTTTGGACTTCTCTATTGACATCCACCCCTTTGTGCTAAGATGAACTTATGCCGTTGGGAGCGCCGTAAAACTTTACTAAAACAAACAGCACAATAAGGTCATGAAAGTGCCGAAGATAAGAGATGTTACAAGAAAGTAACAAACGTAAAAAAGGAGGAGGAGGGATCAGGATGATGAATGTTTTTTATTCTTTTTTTTAGGGGGGGGGGGGGGGGGTTAAGTGTTTTACAGCGCTCGCAACTGCATAAGGTCATATGAGCGCGCAGGACACACCAAACATTTTCAATTGGTAAGAAATTTGGAATTTTGCCCAGGTGGCGGCCAAAGCCTACTCTTGTTGATTTTAGACCACCGAGGGATCTTTATCGTGCGCAACTTGCACACAGGACCTCCGAGATTTTTCACCCTTGTCCGAGAAGGCTAGGTGTTGATCTTTCCTACCAGAAGATCAGGGGTGTGGCTGAAAGACGGCAGTTAAAAAAAGCCAAGGAGTAGCAGTAGAAAGGCTGCAGAAAGAATCAGGAGCCCAGTGGAGAGGGCAAAGAACGTGAGGGGGTGGGGGAAGAAAATGGAGACGAAAGCAGGCGACAGAATATTGCAAGAGAGAAGGAAAGAAGGTGAAAGGAGATAATTTTAGAGAAGAAAACTTTTCAGTGGCTGCCCGGATTCGAACCCGTGACCTTTGAATGAGAGGCGAACACCTTAACCTCTAGGCCACGAGAGCCCCCGATGGATGTTTGATAAGAAAGAAGGAGCAAACCTCTCCAGAGCACCTGCTAACCATCCACCCCTTACTCTCTTTTAATTTGCCAAAAGTTGTTAGAATTGCAGAGAAAAAACTTTTACATAGTAGTTAGTAGATACCATCAATTCTAAGTTTCTTCTACTTTAATGCTTAACATTTTGTGTGAGTGATTGGGTACTTTAATTTCAACCTGAGACTAACGACTGCATGTTCTATTGGTCTTATTCCAGAGACTTGTACACAGATACTGAGCCACCAGCCAAGTTAAACAAGCCGCCGGTTGAACATGCACCACCAGTCCCCTTCCATCTCTCAAAACTCCCGGCACACCTCACTAAGAAGGTCTCTGAGGATGAAATCGAAAAGGTATTTGTGAAACTTATTGTCATGTGTTTGTGTTTGTGCTCTTGTCTTCTCCCTTTTTGTCGGGGGAGGGGCTAGGGGTGGCTTCTTTTTTTTTTTTTTTACCCAATTTTGTTTGAGCTTTTCCTTAGGGAAAATCTAAGTCTTTGAGCCCTGAACTTCTGATTTGGGTTGTTGGCAGGTGCTGTGGTGTGATGTGCTCCTTCTTTCCTATCAAAAAGCTGAGATCCACCTGGGAACAAAATCTGGAGTCAGATCTCAGACAGCTGGCTTGCGGTAGAGAAGATCGGCCAGAAGTGAGACAGAATGGCACTTACAACACAATAAGATCATATATAAGTGGCGAAGATAAGAGGTGTTTCAAGAAAGCTGCAAACAAAAAAGAAGGGGGGAGAAATCAGAACGATAAATGTTTGAGAAGAAAGAAAGAGCAAACCGCACCAGAGCCCATGTCAACCACCTGCCTTCTGCTCTCTTTAAATTTAACAAAAGCTGTTGAAATTGCAGAGAAAAAGCTTTGACGTAAATAAACACCAATAGTTGTAAGGTTAAGAGAGTCATACCTGGCCGTGTCTGTACAGAGCGATGATGTGAGCTGTGGTATCGGCGGTACTTGCTGTCACTGAGCCTACAGTAACATCATACTGGTCTTCACTGTGTGGTCTGTCTTTGGTCTTTTGCTCTGTATGCCATCTAGTGGTGTGTTCTTCTTTTCTTTAAATGCTGTATTCTTGTTGGTGGCTGGTTGTCGGGTGGTCTGGTGTGGTTTGCTCCTTCTTTCCTTTTCAAACATCTATCGTACTTATCTCTCCTCCTTTTTTGTTTTTGTTACTCTCTCGTAACACCTCTAATCTTTGGCACTTATATGACCTAACTGTGTTGCAAGTGCCAACAAGATCTCACTAAAACAAATTCTTGTTGTCCTCCTCCTTCTCCTCCTCCTCATGCATTCAAGGTAACGGAAGACATATTTTCTTTTTTGTTCCCTGTAGAAACTCAAGGAGGTAGTGGCAAGAGATCTACAGCGACTGCGTATCGATCAGCACCACGGGTCAGCCTTCGATTTCACGCTGGAGGAAACAGAAGCTGCCCTGAGAAACGTGAGAGGCTGGCATAAACAGATTCAGGAAAAGGACGTAAGTCTGGCTCTGTGACTTTTCTCTATCATGAAATGTGCTACTGCTTTGGCACCCAGGTTAAATTTTGATACATATCCGCCACTGGTTCTGTATACACCACTTCATTACATGCGAAAGAAAGAAGACTTTGAAAGTCATACCGAGGTTCAAGTTAAATAAGCTAAGTGGTGTTTTAGCAAAGAAACTGTCTTGCCCTAACATGATAATTCGTCATACCTTTGTTAAATGTGAGGGACACTGATGACGACCTTTTCCAAATTTTGCTTACTCTGCGCAAGGAGTTGGGAATGAGGGTTGTGTCCTGTAGGGCCTACATCGTTTTCAACGATTTGGTTGTTATCATCACTACCACAATCATCATCATCATCGTCATCATGATGCACGTCCAAATGATTTTCCTGTTTCGTTTTTCTTTCTTTCTTTAAAAAAAATAAATTTAAACCATAACAATTTACTACCATCTTGACACATTTTCTATCTCTAACCTTCCAATATCCAGCACCAAAAAAGGACATGATTGTAAAAATCATTAGGTTGTTCTGTCTCCTGAAGAAAAAAAAGGCTTTTCAAGAGCACAATGTTTAGTTACAATGAAGAAAGTCTCAGATATCAAAGTATTAGACCATTCTACATTTGCTCTCTTTGTCACAGATCTGGCTGCGCCTGTCGCCTTTTCGGCAAGAGTCGGGTCGCTACATTCTCTGGTTCTGGCCCAGAAGGAAGAGACCAGCTCTCTGTATTACGTGAGTAAAAAAGCTGAGTTATCGTTGCTTTAGCTTTGCCTAAGAAAGTGCTACGTGTCACGACCCGGTGGAATCAGGCGCTTGTCAGTTTTGGGGCATTTGGAGTTACTGGTGTCATCTTGAAGCGTGTTCTTTTGTCTTAGGCTTTTTTTTGTGCCTTTACCCAAAGCTTTTGAGTTAAAATCTGTTTGTAAATTTGTTTTTAAATTGACATAAAAGGTGCTAAACCAAAAAAACAAAAAATCAATTGTGATTGCCAGATCGGCAGAAAAATACAGAATTCTTGTGTTTTATTATTTTGACGAGCGCCTGATTTCACCACGATGCCTGCTTTCCTTTTCGGCAAGAGTCTGGATGCTACATTCTGCAGTTTTGGCCCAGAAGGCTGAGACCAGCTCTCTGTGTTACATGAGTAAAAAAACTGATTTAGCCTTGCTTCGGCACTGCCTTAGAAAGTCATATTCTTTTATTGGGTAGGCCTACTTTATTTTTTCTTCTATTCAAAATATTGAAATGGGGGCCCGCTGTGAAGCTTTGGTTTTAGTCTGTGGCGTAATGGTTAGCCTCTTCACAGTGGGGAAGTCTGTTTCATTGAGTTCTTTTGCTTTCTTGCTGGAATGCTGTCAGTTGGAATTGGCCCTGACAGCTAGTGTTGGAGCAGCTCACCTCTTGCATGATCCAAATTGTCTTCATCATCATTGAGTTTCTCACCCTGAATGAGGATACAGGCCACGAACAAACATTTTCCACCTTTCCTCATCCTGGGCTTGCCTCTTGATGTTCCTGCTTCATACATGATGGTGCGAACATTCCTCAACAAAGTTTGGAGAGACTTGTTCGATAGAGAAGGTTTCAGGTCGTAAGAGTCCTCTCAGCTTTGTTCACTGTCCATCATTGTGCCTGCTGATGCATAAGCTGCTGTGTCTCCCAAGATAAAAAATTAAAGGGGTGTTTGTTGGTGTTTCTGTAACTTTCAGTTTTTATAGGGTCAGGTAGTTGACCGTCAGCAAACTGGCCCTTTTTCGGAGACCAGACCTATGTACCTCTTACGACACACAGTATCACGGCAGGATTTATTCTTTGCTCCACCATAGTAAAACTATGGGGCCCCCCACCTGCAGGGGCGGCTGTAAATTGGGACTGATTGTAAAACATGCAATGGTTTACAATCAATCAGAAAAGATGCTCTGGGATATTGGTAAAATCAGGGTTTTGTTTCCTCTTGTACTACAGCTTGTATTCCCTCTCGGGGTTTTAGTTTTATAGACGAATGCGAAAATGTGTGTCTGAGAAAAGAAAAAGAGCCCACATGTTGGCAATTTTCAAAATTGAGATAAAGGTAAGTTCAGAGATGGGGTTTTTTTTAGTTCGGAATCGGCTGGTATTGGAATCTTTCAGATATCTTGAATAGGCCTACCTGTGGAGATATTGCAGGTTTTTGTAAGACAAGTTTTAAAAAATAGTTTTGTTTGATGAAACAGCTTTAAAATGAACTTACTCACTGTGGGAGACTTGAACTGTGGCTGGAAAAACACCATAGTACAATGCATGTCTTTTACAATTCCAGTTCTGATTTTTTTTTTTTTGCTACTTGATGAAGAGTTTGATGTTGAAGAAATTTTATCTTGAAAGTGTGGTATAGATCTATCACCTCTGGGGCCAGAGACTGGGTGTACAAATTCACAGTAATTAACGGTTAGGACATGGGAATGGCGAGCATTCTTACCTCTGTTGTTCACCAAACAACGACTTTTCTTACACTGGAATAGCGGGCAGCCCTATGTAGAGATTTGATTATTATTTTCTGTTTAGGGTAATCGATACCAACTTCTCTTCTTTCAACAGGCTTAAGACTTTCATCATACACATACTCTTGAATAATGTCTTTCTTTCAGGCATAATGGAAAAGTGAAAACGTACACGTTCCATAAAACACCGGAAAAAGGTTCTTCCTCCAAACTTGTCTCCTACTATATGTACAAGTCCCAACACAAGAGCAAAAGCCTGAAGGACCTGGTGGAGTACCACCTTGAAAATGGGTTTGTTGACGAAAATGATAAGACATTGGAAGACAAAACTGTGCGTTTGTCATCACCTGTACTGTAGGCAAGGTGCTTTTGTTGACAATGTTCTTTGAAGTTACCTATATTATGATTATTTTGTATGTATGTGTGTATGTTTGTGTGTTAGAAAAACTCTTTAAACTGATTGAAAATTCGACTCTGATATTGTAACTATTTTGCAATTTTTCTGTCATATATCTGAGCATGTTATTTTGTACATTTATATTATTATAAAATCTTTTCAATACGAACTCATTTCCTTGCTTATGATTAAAAATTACAAAGATTTATGTGATGTCAGGTGCTGTAGAGTGCCCTTTAGAAAATGGCCTAAGAACCAGCTTTTATGTTAATGTTTTCAACTTCCTGCTCGTTTTCCAATAACTCCTCAAATACTATTGTTATTACTAAGTAAAAATATGCTCAACTCAATTTTTAAAATTGTTTTTTTAATCTTTCTCCTCTTTTTTCATTTATCTCTCTTTCCGTCTTTCTCCCCTTCCCAGATCTGTAATATCTTTAATCTCTCTCTCTATCTCTGTCACTCCCTCCCTCTCTGTCCCTCTCCCTCCCACTCCCTCCTCTCTCTCTCTCTCTCACTCTCTCTCTCTCTCTCTCTCTCTCTCTCTCTCTCTCTCTCTCTCTCTTTTCCTTTTGTTCTCCAATTACGCCTTGTTACATAATGAATTTGTTGTTTGAGGGACTATGATACGCCTGTGTGCAGCAATGGAAAGATTATAAAATGTAATCCTGCGTGTTTATATATAGTCTTGATTTACGCCCATGCTCTTTTCAAGGTAGTTATTGTTCTGTGCTGTGTTATAAAATTCTTCTGTGATTTCGCTTGGAAGATCCATATTTCACATCCTGTTGCTTGTCATACTGGTTTACAATAGATCCCATTGTTCTTAGAAAAGGGAACTTTTATTTTGTAAGATTCCAAATTTCCCTTACAGAATGCATTTTTTTTATCAAGTCCCTCTTTTTAACCCTTAGGAGCCCTCTTCCCTTACAAAATAAATTGTGTATTACTTAGGATTCTTCATCCTTTATGACGTAGAGTGTTTACTCAACAACATCCCATTTTTTTTTAACAGAATAGAATTTTTATTGTATAAAACTTTCCTCTCAGATTGTGGATTTACTAATGAACCTAAACTAAAGTTTTGCCTGTATGAGTAGGATAAGTATCAGAGCAGAAGTTTGAGGTGCCTGTTTTCCGAAATAGCCTCCCTAAGCAGTCACTTTCACGGGAGTGGCTCACTTTGACAGACCACCGCAAGTATGTGCATAATAGTATTCTGTAAGTAGAGGTTACTCAACTGCATTCAAGTGTTAACTCATCAGAGCTTTTCTTCTGTCAGACAAATCTGGCAAGTAGATCTGATCTTCATCTGCCGTTTTTGTTTGGTAGATGTGCTGGCAGCCTTTTGTACTTGGCGTTCACTGTCCGTTCATAAGTAGTGAGGTAGAGTGCGTGGGCCAGTCTTAACCCAGTGCGCACAGTGTTTCTATAGTAATTCTTCTGACCGGTATTAGTAAATAGAATTCAATTCTATTTTTCGGCGCAGAATGTACAAAATCAGAAGTTTCCTCTCAAAAGTGACCAATTTGGGGACAGCTTATTCCTGTGTATTCTCTAATTTGACCTTTTATTTATTAAATTTTGCTCAACTTGCTTGCATATTTGCAAAAGCATGGATCCGTGTAGTCTGGTAATGTTCTTGGGTGGTTCAAGTCGAACCTATCTGGACATTCACAGTTTGTTCTAGTGAATGGAAAAAAGTCAGCTATGTATAGCTTAAATTACGGGGTACCACAGGGCTCTGTGTTGGGACCACTATTATACATTTTTGACATAACAACACTTAGTTCCATCATAAGAAGTCACGATAGTTCCTACCTCATGTAAGCAGACAACACCCAGCTGTATATGTCCCCAGAGCCAGGCAATGTTGATTTAACACTTACAGTACTGAAGGATCATATAGTGAAAAACCCTCAAGTACCACACCAGTTTAGAGCACTGAAAACGAGGTAGAATTTTTTTAATTTAAAAAAACTTTGGTAAGCAAAGAAACCCGCTTAAAAAATTCATAGAGGTTCATCAACCCTTCAGCTATCATATAGAGTGACTTCCTTTGGTGTTTACTCCAGTGCCGTGCATCCATTCGATCGTTGTTTAATTATCGGAATTATGTTTAGTGTGTCTGGTTTCTGCGGTGTCTAAAGTCGCCAGTGGTAGTGGGCGCATACTATGGCCTGGCGACAGTACTGCAAGTGTTCATAGCTCAAAGCATGACAAAATGTGTAGACAAAGCCAAGACCTGGATGACATCCAAAAAACGGAAGTAAAACGACGATAAGACCAAAATAATTTTTTTATAACCCAAAGTCTTTGGTGACACAATTTTATGGAACTGATTACCTTGTTGTTGGAAATGAGGAAGTGATTTTTAAAGCAAAGACCAAAGATTTACGAGTTTTGTTTGACAACAAATTGTCTATGCACCACCAAGTCCTAAATGTATGTAAGGTTTCATATTTAGAGATCCGAAGAATTGCACAAATGGCACCTTTTTTATGCAAGACACTCTTAAGACCCTGATGTCATCATTTGTATTATCTCAAATTGACTATTGCTTATCAGTCCTTTTAAACATACCAACATAATTAATGAATAAAATGCAGACATTCCTGAACCTATCTGCGAGAGTTATTCTCAAAAGGCCTTAAATAGAACACACAACACCATTGCATTTACAGCTACTTTTCTATCTCTTTAATCAATAGACAAGTCAGTGATAATACTTCAGTTTTTGACACTGACATGACCAAATTGTGTTGATAGTATAGTGCCATAAAACATATAGTCAATCAATCAATAGTCCTTCAAAGATCCAAAGAATCTTCATTCTCGTGAAAGAAAAATAGCTTTAGATGCTGGGGTAGACCCAGAGAAACTTATTTGGAAAACCAGAACAGGTGGGTGACTGGGAAACACTAGGATAGTATGTGTCACGACACGGTGGAATCAGGCACTCATCAATTTTTAGGCATGTGGAGTTATTGGTATCATCTTACAAAATATCCATTTACCTTGAGTACATTTTGAGATATTTGGGATTGAAGGAGGTGGGGGTCACCTAGTCTCTGAGGTAAAATTAACTAGAATATGGCCACCAAAGTTTAGTTATTTCCTTAGCTTGAGAGTCTGTCGAGACAGGAAATTTACTTTTTTCATGCTTTTAATTGACATTTTTCAGTACAAGCCACACAGAAATGTGTTCTTTAATGGACATGGAAGGCGTTGAGCAAAAAAACAAGGCTTCGATAAAAATCCCCAAACCTGTGGGAAAACGCCAGTTTCTTCACTTTCATTATTTTGACGAGCACCTGATTTCACCACACTGCCTCACGTATAGGATTTTTTAGAGCATCCAAGAGGAGAAATGAATGGAGAACCATGATTGCCAATATCTGTTTCAGATCTTTCACTTGATGCTGATGATGATATTTATATATATTATGCTTAATGCTGATGATATATATCCATTCTTCAAGAACTGGAGCAAATCCCTTGTAATTCTAATCCGTAGAGGCGAAAGTCGGTAAAAGGTAACTGATTATCTGCATGGACAAGTCATTCCTTTTTGTAGAATTCTGGATGTATTTCATTTATATTGGGTTTTTTTGTAGATAAAGATTTTCATTGCAACAATAATGCTTGTTGTACTTTTATTTTTTTCCTGCTCAAAAGAAGATGTTGCACTATATTTTTACTTATTGTAGAGTGTGTTGATTGAATTTGTGGGACCCAGTTTCTTAGATGTTCTGTACCTTTATACATGTGATGCTTGTTTGAATCATATTTGTGTGTATATCTTTATTTCTTTACGGTTATTCCTTATTTTGGTTCAAAGAGGTTTGACTCCGTCAAGGCATTATTTGTGTCCTCCTTTATTATACAAAAATACAAAATTTTTCTGTCAGGAATTTGAATATTACAGACTTCAACAAAAGTTAAAGACAACTTTGACAGACAGTCCTAATTTTTAAAAATATCAGAAAAAAGACAGCAAGGAATGTTTCAACATTTTTGCTCTGAAAGTGTTAATGGGTTACCAATGTGTACTGCAAAGCCTCCTAAAGGACCAAAACCTCCACGGGCAGCACAGAAATCCTCTGGGGATTTTAGCCAAATTTGCTGTTTTATATCGACTTGTGTGCGACACCAAGGACTTTCCTCAGTTAAAATTTCTTGTGCGCATCATAAACGGACGTACGGTCTCGACCTGTGCTCACTTTGGTGGCAATATAAGCCTCCGTTTGCACAAAATCCGGTATCGCATCAACATACCACCAAGACGAAAGCTGAGAGACTTTGATCGGGCCAGAGCTATGGCATAGATGGAGTTGGAGCCCGAGAAGTTGCCAGAAGGCTTGCAGTTTCATACTCTGTCATTGTCCGCCTGAGGCAGAACTATCACGCCACTGGATCAGTCCAAAAACGCCCACGCGCTGGTCGACCCAAGAAGACCACTCAGAGTGTTTGCCAGCTGCTGGGACATTTCAGTAACCCACTTTCAGCACTTTTTAAGGACCCCCGCGCAAATGTTGAGTTCCTGCATGCTGTCGGCATCGCTGACCGTTTATGACGCCACAGCGCCAGAAGAAAGAGAAGGAGAGTGTTTGCAAGTGGTCCCTAACCTTTGTTGAAGTCTGTATTTTGCTATGGAATGTGTTGTCTAGCTTTTCATAATATTTACACCCATTTGCACATCACTACCTCAGAATTACAAAGTTCTATCTGCACAGTTCCTAGTTTTGAGAAAATCGAAGTTGAAAATTTTGAGTTTCACATGGTCAAGCTTTTTCGAATGTACTAATTTTCTAAGGTATTTATGTAACATTATGCAAATTGAGTTGTAACTGGTGGTTTTAAGTCATTTTGACTGTTATTCTTTTCAGATGTAGAGTATTCCGTTTGCAAAGAGAAACTTGTAATTTTCAACAAAACGTGCTGAGCTCAAAATTACAAAGTTCTATCTGCAAAATAGGGAATCTCCGGGTTTGGCCACTAGAACAATGAAATACCTGTAGTAACTTTATATATGAGTATGAGTTAGGAGTAGGAGTATGGGTAGGATTGTAGGATAGTAGGGTAGTATAGTATAGTAATCGTTGGGGCCTAAGCCGCATTATCCCTAAAAATAGCTGGTGTATTTAATTTATGTGTACTTTGGTATTGTCTTCTCTCATTTTTCTATTTAGTTATCCATTTTCTCGCTAGTTTTACCTCTGACAGCAGATAACCCCCGCCTTCTTCAATCGCGAATATCTTGACTTCTATTCAAGATAGATGCGTATTGTTTCACCAACCACAAACTTTAAGTAGGGGTTTTCATCGCTGGAAGAGCAGGTACTGAAAACT